CAAACAGAGTAGATTCAGCAAGAATCTTGCAGCTTTTATATTTAGTCGTTTTTATTCTAAAAGGCCAGCTTGGCCCCTGAGTGACAACACTCATCCAATAATTGTAGAGAACTACGAACAGCTTGATCCCGACTTGGGTACGTAGGCAACCTTCGGGTGCAGCTGTAAACTTTATAAATTTTTACTTTTTGGAAAATAAGCTCGGCACGTAGAGCAATCTTCTTTTGTGCGAATGCATCTCACTGAATCGATGTTCTGGCCAAACATTCGATTCAAAAAAGCAAAAATTAAATTTGTGGCTGATCACCACTCCTTTGATACTTCGGTTCGATTTAATTACTTCCAAGTAGATAAGACGAAAGCCGAGGACAATATTCGCACGACCCTCGATCATACCTTTCAGACCGAAGTGAATTCTGAAAACTTGGTATTCGATCTTGATCGTCCTTTGGTATAAGACGGGCAAAGGAATCTCGCTCCCAACTCCGAACTACAAAGTTACATCGCATAACAGGAACTTTCAAAACAAAGATCACTTCAATTTACTTTTGCAAAAAAAAAATAAAACAAAAAAGCAAACAAGGTACCGGAAATTAAATTATATTATATAAAACCCTTTCGGGCAATGTCATTACATAGACGGCTACGCAAAAAAATTACAAAGGGAGAGAGGAGATAAGCAGCTCAATCATCTTTTGATCTTCCTTGCGCTTGCCTTAACAGCTCTTCAACGTCAGGTCTGCTTGGTAGGCTAAGGTCGCCATCAGTAATAACTATCTCCTCGATAGCATCACTGGTAGCTTGCCACTTTGCAAACTCTCTCTCGAAAGCCGAAAGCGTTCCAGCAGGGAGTTCCCATCCTTTGTCCCGCATCCTCTTCAGATACGCTACCATAGCGCTATTCTTCTCCACGCCCACAAGGGCAGCCTCAACCTCTTCTCGCTGAGCCAGCGATGCCTGAATTCGCTCCATCCGCGGTTAAAACCAGGAGACCATGCAGATGAAAACTTTGTCAGCAACATCTTGCATCGCTTCATCCCGAGAACCTTGAAGCTTCTCTTTCTCGGCGAGGAACTTTTGCAAATTTTCCTCATTCCGCTTTTCGAGGACCTCATTCTGCACTTGGAGGGCCGCGACCTGCTTACGAAGCAGGGATGCCTCTGCCACCTCGCCCCGAAAGGCTTCAAAAGTGCCTTCGAGATGGGAACACTTCTCTTTGAGAAGCTGATTCTCCTCTTCCGCCTTTTTGAGCTCCTTGATCTCAGCACAAGCGACATCCAGCATCATCTCATCTTGACAACAATTATTGTCGTATGTCGCGAATGCAGACATGTACGCTCTCAAACCCTGTACCACGATTTGTTATCAGAAGTGCGCAACAAAACGAAGTAAGAACACAATAACACAAAACCTAAAATATATGTATACCCGAGCTATCAAATGATTTGCCGAGGATATCGACTCCGCAAGCTTTAGCTCCCATAGAGGTTTACCCCACCTGGGGTTCTTTCTACAATTCCAGATCAGCTTCGCAGCGAATTCACGATTCAGCATCGCCGGAGTAGCTCCATCCCACTTCACACTGAAGTGGTGAAGATTGTAGTCAAAGAACTCCTCTTCTTGCTTAGGCTCGACGGGAGCGCTCGGCCTGGCATCTCCGGCACCTGGGGCACTGGTGTCTTTTGGGGAAGCGGGCCCCTCAGGACGAGCCATAGCAGTCTCTTCAGTCCCTTTCTGACTTTCATCTTCTGCCTCCTGAACCCCAGGACCCTGAGGAACATTAGCCCAGGGCAGCGAAGGAACAACTTCGTGGCAGCATTATGGGGGTCTCCATTACCCCCACCTTCAGGTTGAGAAGTGGTTTTTTAAACCAATTCGTCCTGTTGGTCCCCTGTGGCCTTTTCGGCTCTAGCTCGCCATAATCTTTCCCGAGCTGCGGCCCTGGAAAAGCTGGAAAAAGCGGTAAACGCATCAGAAACCACGACAACTCGCCAAAACAAAACAAAGAATGAGAATAAGGGTTTACCTCGCAAGGTTTTCATTTTCTGAAGCCGGCTCGGCTTCGTCAGAGTCCACCCGAATGGGCGCGACTCGAGGAGTCATTCTCCTCCGCTTCGTAGGGTAGCTCGCAGGGATATCTGCTCCCATCGCTGGAGCCACCCTTCTCCTCTTTTGGCCGATCCCTTTGGATCTCGGCCGTGACGCCCTCTTAGCGGCTGAAAATATCAAAAACATGTGAATAAGGTGCCATGCTCCAAAAAGGGAAGGAAAGGAAGAAGTTACTTCGATCTGGTAACGCACCTGCTTTCGAAGACTTGGCTCCCATCTCGGCCGGCTTGGCCAACTTCTTCTTCTCGGCGGCCCCCTTCTTTTCCTTTTCGGGCCACAGCTCATGGCTAAGATTGCGCAGCTTCTGGATATAAACGTCTAGACTAAACCGGTCCTTCCCGAGGCTGATCGTCACTGCCAACATAAGAAACATGTCAACATCACGAAAATAGCCAAAAGGGAAACAGGAAAAATAAACAGTGAAGTTCAGTTCGGCTTACAAGGCTTCGACCTCCAACTCCTGAATAAATCAAGCTCGGAGCTGCAGGTAGACGCCTCGTTAATCTTCACAAAGAAAAAAAAATGGTCCCACTCGTGGACCTTACTCGTCGAGTCCCCGCCGACAATACCATACTTCAGAGTGGTGTAAAAATGGCGCCATCCCCCGCGGTTCAGCCTCCCACTCTTCAGAATCGAGATCCTCTCGAAAATATCCTAGTTGAAAGGAACCACCGCCATTCGAGCAACCGCCGCTAAACTATTAAAATGGCGGATTACAGTGTGAGACAGTTGCGCCACTGGCATCCTCCTTCGTTCGCAGTAACGAAGAAGCAACGAAATAGGAAATCGAAGACAAAAGTCTGCAAAATGGCATTCGTAGACGCAGAAATAGCCTTCCGGCGGCGTCGTATTCTCTCGTGAACTTGAGGAAGCAAAAGCTCAACTCCCTCAGGAAAGCATCACTTTGACCGGAGCTCCTGGAGCCTTTCCACGGGCATCTAGGTCCTCCCATCCTTAATGCCGGTCTTGTGCTTCGACATCGCAATCTTCTGCGGAAGACCCTCGATCTGGCTCGCTGGCTCGGAACCCTCCGATTCCATCTCGTAGTCTATGTCGGAATTATCCGGCGAGATTTCATCTCGATAGCCTGAAGACCCCTCAGAATTCGAGGGAGAAGAAGAAACTGGGCTGATCCACGCCCGCCTAGCACGCTCGGCGAGAGAAGTATTGTCCTCGTCAAAGGAAGAACTATGCGACCTCGTCGACATTTTTCAAAAATAAAAGAGAAGAAATTTCTGGAAAAATCGAAAAGGGAGAAGGAAGATCGGCAAGAAACGAAGATTATTGCAGCAAAGAGATAAATTTTGCAAAGCAAATCTGAAGAAAGTAAAGTTTTTGGAACAAGAAGACGAAAAGATAAATACAGTAAAAAAAACTCAGAATATCAACAGTTTCCTTAGAGGACGCGTGACGAGATTCGCATAATCTTACCGTCTGGAAAAACCTTTCGCATTTCCTGCTCGAAGCAAAACCCTAATGGGACAAATATTTAATAAATTTATTCAAAAGAAGCGCCACGTGTCAAATCCACGTAAAAACAGGCCGAACTGGTCATCGCGAAAAAACAGTTTCGACGAGCTGACGCTTATTGTGAGATCAAACTCATTTAACTTCATGAAGTCCGCCGACCTGATTTGCAATCAGTCTCGCCGAACTGGGAGGGGACTTACTATTAGAGGGGAAAATGAGCACATTTCCTAAAAGGATTTCTCTAGCAATAACATAAGCCCATCAAGACCGGAAAGACCGCGCCGACCTAGCTCGGATAAAAGAAAAACTCTTAAGGATAATCTTTGAAGTCTGGAAGCTTCAGATCAACTCAAATGATAAAAGAGAATTTCCATATTCTTCGGAGAATAAGGAATATTTCCATATCGCAAATATGGAAATATTCACCAAATGAGAAAAGGAAAAAGAGCTCGGAGCGACCGACTTCCTATCCCTATAAATAAGAAGATCCTGGAGCACAAGAAGGATAACTCATACAATCTAGAGAGCAGCAGAGCTAAAACCAAGAACTCCAACGATTTCCAGCTTACTTCGCAAACACTTTCTTTTGACTTCGGCATAACCTCTCGGTTAAGTAATCTCTTGTAGTCGCTTCGTCTTCGAGTTATTAATAAAAATCTTATTTTTCGAAACCCACAACTGTTAATCAAATCCTTAGTGGTGATTTTCTGGTTCAAATCCTTAGCAGTTTTTACAGGACCAGAAGAAGCAATCAAGCTTGTCTCGACGAACCTGGGAAATGAGGATTGGCTATCAAGCTTGTTTCAACATCGCAGCCTTGCTGTAAAGTCTCCATCAACACATGAGCCTGCGCAAGGTGATTCTGCAACATTTATATAGTAAAGACATTGACATTTTATAGCTCATGTAGATCGTACTTTTGTTTCCTTTCATGCACAAAGGAATCACTAACAAGAAAAATAAACATTGTCCAGAAAAACGTACCCATCATATTGATACGTAGCTTTGCCGCCGAGTTCCAAATCAGTATCAACCCTAAAATTAAACCTTAAATTGATATTTATCGCATTACTATATCATTACTGCGTACATCATCTTCTTCTGTAACAGATTTATGGTTTGACAAAGTGACATAAAAAAAAAAAAAGCAAAACCCTCCGGTTCTTCTACCACCCGTGATGTCAGTAGCAATCAGCCAAGCAGATTGGTTCATAAGGGTAAAGAGTCCATGATAAAATTAAAAGTATTCAAGATTCAGATTTGAAAAAAAGGCAATTATCTAGGCGAAATAATGTGTTTTTTTTATATAAATGTATACTCTTTTCATTTCCGTAGTTTTGTTTTTCAAAGAGATCACAACAAAAGCAATAGTTTTCGACTTTTTTAAAAAATTTAGAAACGGATTCACGATTGCAATTTTTTTAATAATGTCCCCACATTCTTTTCCGATGGCAATTATTGCAACCACAACTAATACAGTATTCGTTGTTACTAGTTGTCGGAGAAAGAGAAGCCTTCATTATCTCCACGGAAAGATGTGGGTTATCGGCGACGAACAACTTGAATTCGTTAGAACTAGCAATCGTACTTATATTAGCTTTGATATAGTTGAAGGCTGCGTCGTCGAGAACTTCGTCAAAAGGGATCTGGGCGAGCTCAAGGAACGCAAGAGCATTCGACGTATTAAGAGAAGAGAGAAGCTCGTGTCTGCATAGGTCCCGTAGATGCAGAATCTCGTATTTGTCAGCCACAATATAAAGTGATCGAACGTGTTGCTTCCCTTTCGCAGACATCATAGAGCCATCACTGTACATAAACTCAACTAATGCTTCTAACTCCTCTTGTTTCATCTCTGAGAGAGTCACTGTCTCCACCTTGTTAGCTGAAGTCTTAATTTCATCTGATTCCAGTATCTTCTTAAAAACCTCTGATCTTGATCCCTATTCAAAATCCAAACATATGTGTTAAGGAAACTTCATTGAGAGAGAAGATATAAGAAATAAAAAGAAGAAGAAGAAAACCAAAATCAGTTTGTGCGCAGAGATAGCTGAACCCTCATCACTGTCCCCTGCCTTGAGCCGTACGTCAACTAGCCATTGCTCTTCAAGGGCCTTTGCAAGTCCACCCGAGAAACGCTGTTTGTTGGTTTGAGTTGCCATAACCAATACACAATGTTGATTTGCTCTGGACGTTATATAAAGAACCAAAAGACGACGGTTCAAATGACTTCTCTTTTCTTTAACGTTTTCTGCACTTTCGTTTTAGAAGACTTTGGAAATAGAAGAGACGCAATTGTTCAATTAATACACTTAAACTCCTAAAGTCGAATGTATTCTATGTGCTTCTCCTTGGGAAATTCATAGAATCCAAACCGATACTAACCAATCGGCGTGTTTTTGGAGATGAGAATTTGTTTGGCAGAACGATATTATCCACAAGTCAGTACATCTAAATGTATCTCCTAAAATTTTAAACTTACCATAAACTATGTGAAGATATTTCAATATTTTGTCATAACAAGATGAAGAGAATCGTGTTAGCAAGAGGAGATGAGCCAAGTTTTTATACATACACACAAATAACATTCGTATAACAGAGACATAGACTGTCAAATAAACTTCAGCTGATCCAGTTCTGATTCTTTTACCAAACCTTGACGTCATCAATGGTCCGGCCGGTTAAACCTTTATAATGTGATATTCGTAATCAACTGGTACAAGATATAGGATCCAGTGAAGAGAGTTGGGGGCATAGATCGATGACTTTATTTTAGTATTTTAAATTTCGTGCATGATCAAAATAATAATGAAGATATGCACTAACGATGGCTAGCTAAGGTGTCAGCTGATTAAATAAGAAGTGGTCGTTGAGAAGAAGGAAACACAAACAAGTTATGTGGATCCTACAACATTTATAGAGTAAAAACATTGACATTTTATAGCTCATGTAGATCGTACCTTTGTTTTCCTTTTCTGCACGAAGGAATCACTAAAACGAAAAAGAAACAGTGCCCAATGAAACGTACCATTGGTTAAATAAAATTTGAAAAATAGAAAAAAGAAAAATAATGGACGGTCACAATGAGATTGTAACCACCCATCACTTTCATATAACTGTAATATATTGATACGTAGCTTTTCCGAATTTCTCGTCAGTATCTACCTTAAAATATAAACATGAAAGTGATATTTCTCGCATTTACTATAATTTTAAATAATACTCCTTGGCGTTTCGATATTAAAACTTATATTCATTTGATTTGACCACTCCCAAGCTTATGGTTCATATATATCCCAGATCTGTTACTTACTTATACGTAATACACGTATTTGCTAGTAATTAGTTTCTCCTAAAATCTACATACCTATGTATATAAATTATTTTTCAGTCTGATTATTTGTGCATCTTTTTTTCCCGCTTGTCGGGTTAGTAATGTCGCACTATTTTTTTAGTATTCTGTTTATTAAAATAATAAACTTTTCAACACTTTGTCGATTCTCAACACTTTGTTTATGATGCTATATATAGCTAGTATCATTACCTTATAGACAACCAAATTAAAAAATAAACAAATCATTAACTCCTCGCAAATACTCCATATTAAATTTGTTAATATAATCATATACTTTTAAATTATTATTATAATCATATCAAATAAGCATTTGATTGGATTATATGGTTCTTATTTACTTACATACATCCCACAAATCCCAATCTCTGGAAACCAACATCAAAAGTCCTACATCTGATGACATGGCACCCTCCAAACTTTGACCGACTTGTCAAGACTTCCACTATACACAACCAACCTCCCACCTCCTCCGTCTTCACCCTCTCCTCCGTATCGTTCCGCCACCGCCAAACACTTAACCGGTCCAGTATGACCGGTCAAAACCGAGACACACGTGTGAACCCTCCCTTCCCTCCTCCAGACGCATATCTTCTTATCGGCCGCACCACTAAACACCAATTCTCCGGCGGCGGCGAGACAGAGCACAGCAAGCCTATGCTTCTTGAAAACACCACAATGCTTCAACACTTTCTTCTCTCCCATCTCCCAAAAATTCACAGCCCCATCGCTCGAGCCACTGTAAACCGCCACGTGGATCGTAACCAAAGCCGTAACCGCAGATTCTTGCTTAAGCAAAGTCTGAACCAAACTATGCGCCGTACGCTTCCCGCGAACCTCCCGTTTCCAAACCTTAACCGATCCATCCGCCGAGCCGGTGAACACAAGACTCTCGCCGGAACCGGCGGCTACGACGGAGTTCACAGCGTCATCATGTGCTTTAATAGACTCTAAACATTTCAAGTCGTGGATTCGCCAAACCTTGACCGTCCGATCCCACGAAGCGGAGTACAACAGCCCTTGATCTTCCACAAGACTCAAACACGAAACGGCGTCGGAGTGTTTGATCCATAGCGCCGTACGGCGTCGTCTCACCTCCACGTAATTACTAGGCTTCACTGACTTCTTCAACACGTCTTTCAAAGCCGGTAAGCTCCCGGCGCGTGTGTACACTCGCGGGTTCTTCGGTGAGGTTTTCCAGACCCGGATCTTACCGTCTTGATGACCCGTAAATACCTGATTCTCTTCACGACATATCACTATCGCTTTCACCAAACCACTGTTCGATTTAAACTCACTAAACTCGTTTAGGTTCTTCCAAACCCTAATGTAGTTACAGTCCGTTCCTGTGAAAAGAAGATCGTTCGTCGCTGCTAACGAGTAAATGTGGCCTTCTTCTCTCACAATCGACCCGATCAGGCTGTTTTCTTCGCTTTGGTTCCAAGAAAATTCCCTGGTCGGGTCGGATCGAGGCATTTTGGTTCAAGAATGTGTTGTAAAATGTAAAGTATGATTAGTTTCTTGAAAATCTGAGGAAAATATGAGAACTCCGAAGATGGGGAAAAGAAACGTCGAGGGTAGTTTGCATTATAAGAGAGTACTTAAGCAATGGGAGTGTGACACGTAAAAAATTGTAATTTTGTTTTGTTTTGTCCACTTTAATACTAAAATATCTCTATAAGTGTACCTATGGATGTTGTCCTTTATTGCTAAATATAGCCATATAGGGAATGAATCTTAAATGTATAATTCATGTGATAACATTGTTTTATATTTGATAGTTTTTTCGTCATAATGTTTAAGTAAGTGGGGGGACCTCTAATAATAAGATGGCACGTATAACATATGAAACGACTTTTTCTTCAGATTTGTTTTTTTACTTTTTGTAACAGAAACTTTATAATTGGTGAGAAGTTATCATTGGTTGATTAAGTAAAGTAAAGAGAACAACCAATTTTGTTAAGCAAGACGTGCTATTTTAGGATGAGCACGATAAGGCTACAGGGTTATCGCCCATCGTAAGACATCCCATTTTATTTGGGAAAGTGGATGCATAAATCTCATGTGAGTGGAATAGGGATTTTCTAGTATATTTTTTTTTTTTGTTTTGTTTTCGGTTTACTTAAGGGATGATTGGTGAAGCTACAATACAACCCTAAAACATTACTAATCAAGCGATACCAATGTCTGAACCGAGTCCATATGTTGAGCCTTGTCTTGGTTGGTGAAATTAGATGACAACCATGAGTTAAATTACAAAAGAGAAGATTTGAATCCTAGCTTCGATCTATAAGATAAATCTTTAGTGACTTAATCACAATGAATTGGTTTAAAAGTAGTGTAACATTACTGAATATGGTAAAGTTCAGTTCATAAGGGTTTCTGAAAAGCATTGCCAATTCTAATTTTAATGGTATAGGTTGAATGGTTGATATTTGTTTGTGCGTATAAGTTCGATTAAGAACTTTACTCTAATCTCAAGAAGTTTGCATCTAAAATAACAAAAACATATAGATATTGTTCTACGACATTGTTTATGTCGAAAACTTTTGTCGTAAGCGACTCCATATGTGTTAAAAAAAACAATTATATTGCCTATGAAATGTTTGAATCATGTGATATATTTTTAAAGGTTTTTATTTAAATTTTTGAGTTTCTCAAAGTGATACCTCTCTACCAAAAAGGGCTTTATTCCCCCTTTTACTTAAAATGGGAAAATGATTACACTACTTACTCAATAAGTTCTTTAGTGCTTCTACATAGAAACCAAGTGTCAGAACCCCATACAGTTACATCTGTACAACAATGCTACCGACTTACTTAAATTCTCATATATTCTAATTAAGAAAAATTATAAACCATGAAGCACGATATGATTACACAGATAATTATGAAACTCGTAATATCAATTCTCTTAGGCTGTCATTAATTACTTCGTCTTTACCGTCTATATAAATGTACTTAACAAGATCTATTGCCATCCCTTGCGATTACTCAAACATGAAAATCGTGTTTGGTGCCATTGTAACATTACCCACCAATAAAAGTATATATTTATGAGAATTTCTTTTAATCACCGAGAATTTTTCAGACTACTATATGCATTTCAGAACAGATCAAATAGACTTGCTAAGTCATGTATTTGACATCAAATATCTAGTTAAATTATTGTCTGACTATCAGAACACAACATCCTGGTACAGGCCAATAGACTTTGATACCATAAGAATCATTTTGTACCACTTATAAATGTTCCTGATCAATTCCTTACGACACCCAATTAATCGTGTATTGTAAACACAAGATGTTGTCGTATAAACAGTCATTTTTTAAGACAGCTAGCTGCAATGTAAATTTCACAATAACAGAAACTTTTGATCAGTAAATTATTATATAATTATTTAGCGTAATTTGATTTTTTTTTTTTGGGTGCACCACTTATAACATTTTTGTTAAAGCACGGCTTATACCATTCAAAAATGGGAATTAAATTGCTTTCCCTTTTACCTGTGTGACGAGATCAAGTCCACGTACCACTTATAAATGTTCCACTCTAATGTTAATTGTTTCGTTTTGTCGTTTTAATAAAAATGCCTTGATCGATGACCAAAAATATGTATATGCATCCAACTTAGTATATCCTTTGATGTTTCATCAACTTTACACGCGTCGAGTGATACCACAACTGATAGGGGGCGGAAGCTGCAGGAAGAAAGGGACAGACTCTGTTTTGCAGTTCAGAAAACAGAGGTTTGAGAATGCTCTTCTCAGCGCTCGAAAGCTCTTTATTATAAAACCAAATCAATAATCCAAATCGTCGTTTACAACAACGGA